TATCCTGATGTAATAGAAATAGTTGTAATTGTAACCGCAAGAATATTCAGTATATCCACACTGAAACTTCCTTATGTAAGAGATGCAAACAAAAGTGGAAGAAAAAGGAAATAGGTGTGTCCTGTGTGAGAAGATACAGATCTATGAACCAGTAGGCGGATCCAGGGCCATTCCTGCAGAATAAAGTGTTTGTGACTTTAAAGAGGCCATATAATGCTCACTACAGCTTCATACTACATGCATTCTCCTTACTTATTGTATTGTTATTGTATTGTACTGTTGTAGATGCTGCTGCGGTACACTGTAATTTCCCAAGCTTGGGGATCAATAAAGTCTTATCTATCTTCTACTATCATCTATCTATCTATCTATCTATTTCTATACTTGTTTTTGGGGGTCTACTATAATAGGTTCACATGCTTTAATGTTAAAATACACCTGTACCTAACTTCTACACCTTAAATATAAACTTATATATAAACCTAACATATAAATATATATATTTAAACCTTACATACAAACCTGTTCGTTAGGAGAACTGAGTCATAAGAACGAGTTTCACACATTGACTCTATAAGAACAGTAATGGAGAACATCTCTCTCGTTGAGCCTTTTCTTCCTCACAGTGCGGGCAGCAGTCTGTACTGGGAGCACAACCGCACAGTCAGCCGCTCTTTTCTTTTCTTTGGTAGCAGTCCGTTAGACTGTCCCACTGCGCCTGCGCCGGGGCTGTCACGACTCGGACGCCGCTGCGGTGCTGCAGGTGGAAACATGGCGATGAAGGCGCTCAGAGGGATGGTGAACGGGGCCATGAGCGAGCTGTCCTCGGCCGTCAGCGGGAGCAGAGCTCCGGCCGCCGCCCCGGCCTCCACCGCCGCCTCCCGGGAGCATGTGATGGCCGTGAAGAGGGACTATATCTCCCAGCCCCGCCTCAGTGAGTCCTCAATATCTGTGATCGATCCATCATCTAATCACACTGCTTTATAACATATAGACATACACATATCAATATAATATGACTTCCTCCTGATCACCTGTGTGTGCACGCTGCAGTGACATCACTGATTGTATTGATTAGATATATCGATTAGTAAACAGAGCAAACATTAAGATGCAATAATTAGACATTCATTTCCTTTTATGAAGCAAATATAGCCTCACTGGTTGCATCTTCTCTCAATATTTGTTTGTTTCTTAAGCAGAGAATAAAATTAATATATTTTAACTCTAAACTATTATTTTGGCACACTAAAGGTGGTAATGGAAATCATCTTTTTACTAATGAATATCAATTTTTCCTGATTTTCAGACATTTTAGAGTCCAAATGATGAGCTGATAATGAAAATAATTCTGGTTTGCAGCAGCTCTTCACTCAGTTGTTGAATTTCTCTGTAGCATGAATGTGTGTGGGCCTCCGTTGGATAAATATATATATATAAATACACTCTGCAGCTCCCCAATTCATTCTGCCTGAAGCTTAGCCAGAAATATTGTCCTCAGTAACATCACGAGTATAATTCACACAGCTATGAGCCTGAGATAAACCTCAGAGGATGATTATTCCCTCTAAAAACTGATTAATTCCATATGTAAGATGTCTCAGTGTGAGTCAGTGTGTGTGACTGTGGACTGGTTTCTATGTATTTCTATGTAGGGATGAGGGTCAAAGGATGTGACCTTTATGCTCCTGAGTGCCTTCTCTCTCCGCTTCCCTACAGTGCCAACAGTGTGCAACAGAGCTAACGTTAGCTTATAAATGGAGTCTGCTAACGGCCGGTCTGCCCTCTGCTGACACTTGTGTTTGTATTTCTGTTTTCTGCATCCTCAGCCTATAAAACGGTGTCTGGAGTCAATGGTCCGCTGGTGATTTTGGATCAGGTGAAGGTAAGAACGACTACAGATCTCAGATGACTCACGTCTGTATTGATATTTTCTTTCTCTGATTTTTTTCAGGACCCTCAGTTCTCATGAAACAGATTCAGTATGTGTCACAGTGCAGATATTACACTTTTATCCTTATTTTTAGCCCAGAGGGAGCTCTAGATGGAATATATGGAGAGAAAGGAATGAATCTCAATAAAACATTTTACCCTACTGGCTGTTACACAAGCTCTCAGTGCAGTGCTCCCACCCTGTAGCACCATTAAATAATCTACTTGCCCTCTAACTCATATCTCTCTGGTCTTTCCTGTAACTGACGCTTCCTGTTTCTCTCCAACAGTTTCCAAGGTACGCAGAGATCGTCCATCTCACGCTGCCTGATGGTACCAAGAGGAGTGGGCAGGTTCTGGAGGTCACTGGCTCCAAAGCTGTGGTTCAGGTACCCGAATCTCAACCACTGTTGAATGGGTTGATGTTTGTGGTTCAGAGTGAAATATTAGATTTCAAGTGGGTGCTTCTGCAGCTGTCAGGGGGTACGGGGAAATATTGTGGAGGAATTCAATAAATCAGAAATTACAATTGAATTTGAAAAATATATCAACATATTGTTTCAGCTGCAACACCTGAACTGCAGGTGTTGGATTTAAACTTAATAGTTAAAAAAGGTTTGCTTAAAAATGTATAAATGGTCAAACTAACTAAAAGTAATAGAAGCTGTTGAAGAAGTTAGGAGGTTAGCTCACTTGGTAGAGCTAGAGACCCATATACAGAGTTGCTGCAGCGGCCCAGGTTCAAATCTGACAAGCGGCCCTTTGCTGCGTGTCAACAGCTGTCACTATCAAAAAAGGCAACAAAAATAACTTAAATAAATAAAAAAAATGACAAATGGTTCACACATCGAGCTTGTGCCACAAACTGAGAGTTTAACTGCGTATAATATTCTAATAACATCCACTTTTACATCGTCAATAGTTAATTAAGATCCAGTTTAAAATCAGTGAACATATTTGGAACATGATTGTTGATGGAGGGGTATTTGAGTCCATCTGACAGGACTGTAGGGGTACGACTAGCACACTAGAGCGCTGCTTCCAACCTTTTTCCTTCATCATCACACATAATATCTAAGCAAACTATTTCATTCAGTTTTCTTCAAGAATTAGATAAAATGCTGAGATTACTGCGATTACACCGATATCGGCACGAGCTGTGCCGATATCGGTGTAAGTTTACACCGATATCGACACTAATCGGTGTAAGTTTCCTTACACCCCTTAAAATCAAGAAAGTCTCACGACCCCATGTGAAGCTTTGGCGACCCCCAGTGGGGATCCTGAATCTCAGGTTGGGAACCATTACCCAAAAGGATCACTTGTAATGACTACCTTAACATTTGTTGTCATTGATATTCTTATCCATGAACCTACAACAGGTAGCTGATAGATAAGAAATATAACTTGTTGGTTTCCTGTAATATTTTGTGTTCAGTCAGTCTGAGATAAATTGGGGGCTCGTCCGGTATGAACAATTCTGTTAAAGTGAAGTTAAGACATTTACCCACGTGGGTATTTTATCATTTAAAGAGTATTATACATCAGTTGGGTTTTGTTCTACTTCTGGGGTGAGTCATATTCTGATCCATTGTTTGTTTGTCTTTGATTTTGCTTTAAGGTGGTTAATTGTTTTATTTGTTCGCAGATGAAAGTGAGTCGAGCGGCACAGCTGTAGACTCAGACAACAAAGAAAATAATAATGCTTTCTCTCAGCTCCTCAAAGGTCCTGGTCCCCTGTTAGTCCCCTTTCTCTTGTGGTCCACATACATAGACTTGTTTTAAAAGGAACATTAATATAAACATTAGTAGTTTACTGATGGATTTCCTGTCCTGTCCTTTGCTCCTCCACTCTACCCCCTGCAGGTGTTTGAAGGAACGTCAGGTATCGATGCCAAGAAGACGAGCTGTGAGTTTACAGGAGACATCTTACGGACGCCTGTCTCTGAGGACATGTTGGGTACGACGCGCAACACAATTAATGTGTCACATTCATTCAGAGTCAGAGATTCATGTTTAACAGGAAGGTTTTATTTGTTTTGTCATGAAAATCCTAAACTGAAGGCAGGTATATTTATCTGTGTGTGTGTGTGTGTGTGTGTGTGCAGGTCGTGTGTTTAATGGATCTGGTAAACCCATCGACAGGGGACCAGCAGTCCTGGCTGAAGACTTCTTGGACATAATGGGTACGTTGTTGTTTACAGCCTGAATTACTACAATAAATGCAGAATAACAAATGTTATTGCTGCTAACTGGTAGAACCTGCTGTTGGCTTTATTTTAATACCTGACCCATCCTGTATGATTCTAATAGTTGCTTTCATACTACAGGGCAGCCTATAAACCCTCAGTGTCGTATCTACCCCGAGGAGATGATCCAGACCGGAATATCTGCCATCGATGGCATGAACAGCATCGCCAGAGGACAGAAAATACCCATCTTCTCTGCTGCAGGGCTTCCACACAATGAGGTACACACACACACACACA